GGAGACCACTAGCCTACAGGGATCAAGTCCTAACTATTAGTGACCTTCCTCACTTCCCCCTCCTTCTCTTCACCTCAATGATCCATCCATGATAATAATAACTAACATTTAATGAACACTTGCTGTGGGCCAAGCAAAGATCCATATCCATTAATTCATTCAATCTTCTCCACCATTCTATGGAATAAATCCTATCACAGTTGAGGAGACTAAGGCATTAAGGGTTGAGCAACTCACCCAAGGTTTGTAAGTTAGTAAGCCAAGACAGGATCCAAATCCAGGCAGTCTGATTCAGAGTCTGTCCTCTTCAGCACTGTGCTGCGGTAGCTCGTCTAATATAAAGGTATGTGAAATTCCACATGTCTGCCATGATCTTTAATCCTTCCAGGATTTTGCACGTACTATTCCTTTTGCCTGGACCAGTCCTTCAAGGTTTAATGCTAATGACAGAACTGCCAACAGCTTTCTCTGATCCTGTAGAGAGCGTTATTTACTACGTTCTCTCTTCACTCGTGATGGCTAACTTGCTCACAACAATGGCCCTTTCTCTGGGAACTGCTCCAATATATAGGCGACAAAACCTAAGCCAAGCTGGACCAATCAGATTTATTCTCTTGGGAAATTTTAAATGAGTGACATGGGGATTGGGGGAGGGAGGGGTCGTTGGAAGAGAATCCATAAATTGCAGCTCTCTAAAGAAGAGTTCTTTTTTTTTTGATTGAAGTGTAGTTGATGTACAATGTTAGTTTCAGGTGTGCAGCAAACTGATTCAGTTATACATACACACACACACACGTATATATATTCACACATATATTTTCAGATTCTTTTCCATTATAGCTTATTGCAAGAAACTGAATATAGTTCCCTGTGCTATAGAGTAGGTCCTTGTTGTTTATCTACTTCTCAGCTTTTTGATTATCGGTCCTCAGTACCAAAATAAATGATTAGCCACTAGGATCCCATTCGATTTAAAACATATTTTAAAAAATAAATAATTCAAAAATGTAAAAACCAGACTTTCAGGTCTGCTGAAAAAACATTCGACTCAAGTCAATACAACAGAGTAACAGCTCCACATCCTATAATGAGACCCAAGACTCCAGGAATAAAGGGAAAGCCTGGGTACTTTTGAGGAACAACACTATAGTCCCACCATGAGCACAAACCAGTTATGCTTCCGCTACCCTTTCCCAAAGGGAATTGTGGCCATTTACCAAGGGAACTTGAGGGGAAATAAGAGGACCCTTCATGGATTATTGGACATTGACTTTGAGCTAACACTAATCCTTCAGAACACTTACTACAGCCATTGCCTGCTGGTTGAAGTGGGGTTTATGGGATCTAGCTTCTAAGTGGAATTTTGGCGAGAATCTGCTTCACAGTGGGCCCTAGAATCCCTGAGGAACCCCACAGTGTTTTCCTCAGTTCTTGATTAGAGCGGGACTAGACATTCTCGGAGATTGGCATAATCAGAGAGATGGACTTCTCAACAGTGGAATTAGGCTTTTTATGTGACCAGGGCCATGTAGAAGTACCTGCAATCCCTCCTGCCAAACAAACCAACTGAAAAGCAGTCAAAAGCGGTACTGCCTCCCCAAGGAAATCATTGGTACAGTTGCCACCAAAACAGTCTTGCTAGATGCAAAACGCAGAGTTCTATCATAGCTCCATTAACTATTTAGTTGGACTAATGAAGGAAATGGCTGGATCCTGGAAAATAGCATGGGTCCCCAGTACCCTGGGTTTTTTATGAGCTTAACCAGGTGATGACTTCAACTGTATCTGCTGTTCCATTTGGGGTCTCCAGAGGAAAAGGTTGCATTCACCTGGTAGAGAAATACACTGCTTTCCTCAGCATTATGTCATCTCTCCATTTCTGTACATTGACTGTCTTTCTATCCCATTGGACATCATGCTAGAGTGAAATATTAATGACATCATGATGATCGGATCTGGAGTCCTAGAAGTATCAGGTACCCTAGGCAGCTGGATTTATTATTTTTTTGTTGTTGTTAATGCAAGAAAGAGAGAGGGAGGAGAAGGAGGGAAGGAAATTCTAAGAAAGTACAGGGGTCTCTGACCTCGGTGATTTCTAGAGGTTCAGTGGCCTTAGTCATGTCAGGAGAGTTCACACAAAACGAGCCCTTGTACTTAGAGAGGAGTTCTTCAGCTCCCTTTGCGGCATTCCCCGGAGTCTGTGCTGTCCTATAAGCTTGATGACCAAGCTCTTCCTTGACTTTCAAAAGATATCCAAGTGTCCTTCCCTGGCTCGACTCAGAATCAGAAATTTTCATTTCTTTCAATGAATGAAGCCAACTTAACCAATCCACTGAGCCTTTCCCACACCTCGCTCATTGCATTCATCTATTAGCCTACACTGAGGTCCTTGTTTGTTTGCAGGTCTGAGTGCCCTGGGCAGGCTGTGGGTGCCTTGAGTGCATGGGCAGCTCCTGCATCTCTGGACTTCTGGTGCCCAGCATTGCATGAGACCCGGAATAGTGTCAGTCAGTACTTACCAAGTGTATGGGTGTGTTTCCCCAGGATGAGGCAGACACATTCGGGTACCTCCCCTGGTTGTGAGCCATTTTCTGTCCACTGATATTCACAGCTAAAGCCTTGAAAATACTATCTCTGAAAAGAAAATTCTGGTTGGAATCATTAAAAGCATTAAAAAATGACCTTTACCTGCTGAAAGCATAATCCATTAATAATGTACCCTGTACTAGAGAGATAATGGGAGTCTCCCACAGGGAGATTAAAGAATGACAGGAATTTAGGGTTGATACTCCTTCTCCAAAATTGCTTTATCCCCCGAGGTGCAAACATCAGGCACCCACCAGGCGCCCCAAGGCCGAGACTGGGAGGAAGAGCTCTAGACAGAGGGAAGGACTTAAGTCAACAAGGAAGCCTCATCCAGGTCATTCCACTTACCATCTTCCTTATGACAGTCCTGCAGGGGCCTCTGGTCTGTCCTGACCAGGAGTCAGGGATTGTCTGGTCTCAGCCCACGGGCAGTGCTGCCAGTTACTGACAGAAGCGACTGTTGTTGGTTGGGTGGGCATGAAGCCAGTTCTAGAATCTGGGGTTTTATCCATGCTAGACGTGGCCGGTACACACCTTAGACACAGTGAAGTCCCCAGCACTCCCAAGGACT